AATGTCTGAGCCACCCCAGGATCCCAGTCATGATCACCTGGGGTGTAACCTTCTCACCTATGTTGATGGCCTCGTAGACATACTCAGGATCGTGCATGAGGTCACACAGAGCCACTAGGGCTTTCTGTCTTGTCAGGAGAGTCTCTGATCGCAGCTCCTCATTAAGCTTGGGCAATGCTCGACAGCCATAAGCAATGGCAGCCTTTGTGGGGTCAATGTCAGGAGGCATGTACATGGAGATCCGGGCATGAGCCATCTTTCCACACCTGCCAAAGGGCTTGGAAAACGAAGCTCTGTAGAAACCACTAATGAAAGAAAAAATAAATAAATTAAAAACCTGTCCTTATTACTATTATCATGTAAAAGCCAGCCATCTCAACCCAAAACTGCCTGTGAAGACAAACACAGGTGGATACTTTCACCACGATCTACCAATGAGCAAACAGAAGCTGATGTCACGGCACAGGGAAGTAACCCAAACTGCAAATCTCGGTCCTTAATGTCAGAAGAAACTGCTTGGGTTACTTGATAGATAGGTACCTTGGTCACAGGCAGCAAGAAGAAAAACAAACCAAGCGAAAACCAAAATGGTGTCTCCTTTGATGTCCCTGCTTAACCAGTGGCAGCCATGAATAGTACCTAACTGGCATCTAATTCAACCACTCAATAAACCACTTTTATAAGTAAGGAAACATGTTGGCTGGGGAGTTGGTAAAGCTAGAAGCTTTTCAAACAGAGGTCTTGCTTCTTCATGTCAAAGGCACATATTCACATGCTTAGGACATATTCGAAAGGAGGGATGAAGGTTAAAGAATGATCTTTTAGCTGGGCGGTGGTGGTGCACGCCTTTAATCCCAGCACTGGGGAGGCAGAAGCAGGTGGATCTCTGTGAGTTCGAGGCTGGGCTGGTCCGACAGCCTCCAAAACAATACAGAGAAACCCTGTCTAGTAAAACCAAAAAAAAAAAAAAAAAAAAGAATGATCTTTTATTATCCCCCCCACACACACATACACTCTCTCTCTTTGATATTGTGGCTTCAGGGTTAAGAATGGGATATGGTCCCAGGCTATGGGTTACCTTTGACAAGTCGCTCCCTCCATGTGTATCTCTGCAGATGAAAAATTATGTAATAAGAGCCTTACCTTCCTGTACTTCTACCATTGCCATTTAACTGAGACCCAGGAGCCTGGCCCACAGAACTTGAAATGTATTAATAGATTGTGGTTATCTTGATGCATTTAGTGACAAGAGCGAGATTCAGTTCTGGAAGTAAACGACAAGCCAGACTCTGGTACCAGCCACCAGCCAAGAAAGGGAGGAAAGGGACCAGGCTGGGAAGGTGGCAGCCATCTCTGAAATGGGCTCCACTCCAGAAAATCATGGTCTCTGGGACAGGGGCTGCCCTCTTGTAAAGGGGACACACTACAAGAATCTAGCTGCCAATGAAAAGGTCAGACCCAGGGTGTGGGGGCGTGAACTCCGTGTGGACAGAATTGGGTAGGTCAGGAAGCCCCCAATACCTACCCGCTGTAGCTGCCTCACTTGCTTTAGTCCTGGTCTCTGCCAGGCAGAGCGCTCATTCCATTCCCAAGCGACCTGGTTGCTAGGAGACTGCCAGCGTCTGCAGCTTCCTGGTCATCCCCCTAGAGAGCCAAGGCGCATGCGCAAAAAGCCTGGGGCTAAGCCCTGCAGAGAATGGAAGAGCAATAATATTTTAACAATGTTACTACATAGAACAAAAAGAAGTCGCCTTTATGGTACTGATGGGAAAAAGAAATGACTTATTCAGACCCTTCTTGTTCCTGTGTACTTTGCATGCTTTGGGTCATTGGAGTTTAACTTTATGCTTTTTGGTTTGTTTGTTTTTGTTTCTGTTTTTCTGAGACAGGGTTTCTCTGTAGCTTTGAAGCCTGTCCTAGAACTAGCTCTGTAGACTAGGCTGTCCTCGAACTCACAGAGATCCACCTGCCTCTGCCTCCCGAGTGCTGGGGATAAAAGCATTTACCACCACTGCCGGGCAACTTGATGTATTTTAAGGCTAAGACTCTCAAAGAGATTCAGTTGCTTCCCTCCGAAATACGCAAACCTGTCCCCAGAACTACCTAGTCAGGGCCCACATTTCTGCAAGCTGATTGCCCAGCACATCCTGACTGGAGTGGCTGTTTTCTAAAGCAAACCAGCACAGACAGGGGCCCTGCTTAACATCCCCTTTGGCTCCTCAGTGGACTCAGTCCTGAGTCCAGACTCCTAACCTGACAGGAGGTGGTGGTGCATTCCTTTATAACTACTACATGGGAGGTCAACACACAATATAGCCCTATCCCACATAACCCCTCCCACATGCTCACAACGTACTGAAATCCTGCCTAGCATATGACACACAGTAAATATAGCAAGTCCAGCTCAATTGCTGGACGCACAGTACACACATGTGAGACTCTGCATAAACTACACATGTGCGCGCGCGCATGCGTGTGCACACACACACACACACACACACACAATAACGAAACCATGTCTGGTAGCCCCTATAGACACAACTCGGCCCAAACCCCCTAACATAGCAAGACCTTGCCTCCGCCCGTTCTGGTTATTGTCTCTCTGTGCCTGACATGCCAGGAAGCTTTCGGTAAATGCAGAATGAGTGCTTGATGGACTTGAATTAAGAGCTACAATTGAAAAGCATTTTCTACAATTCACATATTACTGGATGCAGAAGCAGCTCAAGTGAGAAAAGGTTTGGTTTGGTTTAGAATTTCAGGAGGGGCCAACCTGTGGGTGCTTGGGAAAACGTGAAACAGGAGGTGAGGAGTGTAGTAGGGATAGTATATTTCTGTGAACTTGACCCCAGAGATCTGGTTCCCTCCATAGTCTAGAGCTTCCACCGGCTGGGGAGTAAGTATTCTAAACAGGAGCCTGGGAGGACACTGCCACCCTTTAAGACAGTTCATGACATCACTGTGTTCCCCCCCCCCCATAACTGTACTGGCTACTGTTGTGACTTGTAACGTGAAATCTGTGTTTTCCAATGTCTTACATGACCCCTGTGAAAAGGTCATCTAGCCTAACGGGCTGTTTTATATTTTATTCAGGAACTCCAGGAAACCCTTTAGTTTTCTTTGTTCTTAGTTGACTAGAAGATCACTGAAGAGACAGGTCACATAATTGGGTGCATTAGGTAGTTTTCTTGTTAGTGTGACAAAATAATCTGACAAAAAAGGAAATGGAGGGATTTATTATTTATTTCAACTCATATATTGAAGATGAGTCCATCGCGGTGGGGAAGGTGAGCGGGTTAAAGTGACTCTCGGCTCTGACTCTTCACCTTCTCCTAACTCGATGCAGGAGGAAGCAGATAGGGGTGCCGAAGGCTGGTGGTGCCCAACTGGTACTCAACTCATAGTCATGTCGGGTATTCTCTTGGCAGTCAAAGCTCCCTGAAATCGTCCCTACAGATACACTCAGTGGTATCTACCTAGGGGTAATTCTAAATCCTGTCAACGATGATGATTGAATAACACACATTTAATATAGTTTCCCACTGTCTTGCTGTAGAGAGCACCCCTGGTTGCGGGTTATAATAACAAGTGTTAGATTACTTTTCAGGGATGGGAAGGCTACTTTTGATGTAGACTGCTCCTTGGGCTCTATAGATGTCTGATGGGTGATTGGGAAGGGATGAAAAGATGGGGCGACCTCAACCTTTGGGTGACATTCTCTCTGTCCCTGCATGGAAACTGATTCTTGGAACTGGTCTTCTGCCTTTCTGATCTTTCCAGTAGCTGCTACAACTTAAACACCTAGAATCCTGTAGTTACCACTCCTACACTCATGTCCTTAAGTACACGAAGACACTGGTGCGGATGCCTATTATCCTACCACGTGGGGGATGGGGGCAGCAGGATCAGGTGGTCAAGGCCATTATCATGGAAAATTTGAGGTTCCCCTAGACTACATGAGGGATTGTCACAAACAATGAAAAACAAACAAACAAACAAACACAGTGCATAGAGCTTTGCCAGCATAGCCGTGACCACTGTCTAACCCACCCTAGCAAATAGATATAGGTCGGCTTTCATTTGTTCCCACTTCCACTCCCTAGCCATAGACCCATTGGAGTCTTGCGGCCAACCCCGCACTCACGGATGCCTACTTTCTAATTATAGCTATGCTAAAAGAACCCAAGTCTCCAGCAACATCACCCTCTTTGATGGGCCATTTGACAGCTGAGTAAACTGAGGTTTGGAGTTGTAAAGACCCTTTAAGTCTGAAGCCTGAGCAGTGAAACTACTTAACCAAGACATCAAGCAGAAACATCAGTCCCCAGGGCATTTCCTGTTGCATTAAAGATGACTGGAATAGATCTGCCAACGGTCCCATACTAACTACACTTAGAAGTCTACCTGCTGCTGTCCTTCATGGGATCAAGTCCTAAAGGGTCTCTCTGAAGACTGCCCTAGTTTTATTTTAGGAACGTGTGGTGAACACCGCTGGGCTGGGAGTCAGAAAATCTGGGTTCGATTCTATTTCTAACTCAATGGGCAAATCTTTTGGAATGAAGCTTGTAGTTTTCTTGGGGAGGGGGAAAGGGGTGTCTGGTAAGAGTTCTAAAGCCTCCGGAATACAGCCTGTACCCCACACCTCGCTTTTCAACAGAAACTAGCTCGAAGCAGCCCAGTAACTTGAGTCAGCTTTTTAAACATCCATTAATGGAGGGAATTAATTTTTCAGCGTGAGTGCCAGAAGCCAGGCACATGATTTCCAAATAGCATTAAATTCAAACTGATGCAGTAAGGCAGATGGTAGGCATGAGGTGGGCCCTTCCCTTGTCGCGGGGAGGATACGGGCTTCAATCCAATACCAAGACTCTTTTTATGGGGACTGTCACAACCTGAATCACCAAGGTAGCCAGAGTTAACCTTCAGCCAACCCTTCACCCCTCAACCCAACCCAGAGTCCATCCTGAGAGACCAGGCTCCACCCACTGGCCCCGCCAGTTCGTCAACGCCCTGGTTGTCATGGTGAGACTGGGCGCTCTAGTGGAGTCCGGAAGTCTCTGAGCAGGCGGTGCGGGCGCTCTGCGCCCTGGGAGGCTCTGGTTGCTATGGTGATGGCTCCGCGTGGGCCCGGCGCCATCAGTTACCTCGGACTGGAGGAGGGTCCAGACCCCGCCCCTGACGTCAGGATTCAAGAGCTACGAGCCAGTCCCGCGAGGCCCGCGTTGCTGTAGTGATTTGCTGCTTCCCGCGCGCCGGAACCCGGTCTTTGCAGCTTTGGTGAGTCCGCTCACCCTCCCCGCTGGGAATGCATCCCGGAGGTTATGGTCTTGAGGATGTCCTGTCCCGCCACTCTCCTACTCCCAAACCTGAGTGTGGCCTGCAGGCCTGCTCTTCGTCACTGAGAGTCCATCCCGGGCCAGGCCCCTGGGGGAGCTGGGTCAAATGAGGAGGACATTAGGCTTGAGGGACCAGACTCTGGGTGGTGTGGGTACCATCAGGAAAAGAGACCGGAACCTAAAGTCACCATACCCCTCAGAGGCTCCATCTTAAAAACACACTAAAGCAGGAGGCCTCCCCTCCCCACTCCAGTTCCGCTGTCTAGGCTGCAATCCTCAGCCAGGTTTTTTTCCTCCCTCATGTCATGCAAGTGAGCCCCGCCTCCTAGACACCCACCTCTTGACTCAGGGCCAGATGGGGTCTGGGCTGCTCCTTCACTGTGCTGCCTACAGATTGAATGGTCTCTGCCTACTGTTGCTGATAGGGATGGAGGCCGAGATGTTTTTAAAGTGATGAGAAGTGATGACGAAACTCACGGGTGCATTTTTGAGGATCTGTATGGCTTTCCAATTCTTGTCAAAAGGCAAATGTAACAATTTTAGTCATAAATGACTTTGTGACTCGGGGATGGATTGGGCAGTCCTTCGTCCTGTAAAATAAAATGAGTGCTCTCATGTTTTTGTTTGGTTTGGGCCTTTTTAGGACAGGCTCTCACTGTGTTGCCCAAGCACCTTGGAACTCACCATCCTCCTGCCTCTGCTTCCCCAAGTGCTGAGTATATAGGCCCGTGTTACTTCTACACCTGTCTAGGAGTTTGATTTTATAGACAAAAAAAAAAAAAAAAAAGAAAGAAAGAAAGAAAGGAAGGAAGGAAAGAAGAGACAATAAGAGGCAAATTGGTTGTTTGAAATTACTTACTTTATAGGGTTATTCATGCGTGCTCAGGTTGACTAGTCCCTTTTGAGTGCTGTGGATCTCTTGTCCAATCAGAATCCTGTTTGATCACATGGCATCTTGGGTACTCTGTTCCACTTTGATCTGCTGGGCCATAATGCAGAAACTAACCTCATATGTTTGTGTAATACTCTTTCCCCTTGATTCAGTCTACAGAACACTGGAAGAATGAAGTCCTCTTGGACCCATCTGGGGCCTCCTGTGAGCCAGGATCGTACCATCACCAGCTTCCCTAAGGTACAGTCATGAGAACACCTTTGCTGCTGTTTTCAGCTTCCTTTGGGTCTGGCTTGCTTTGACAAAAGGTCCCTGAGAAACCTGGAATTCACTAAGTACTCTAGACCATTCTCAAATTTCCAATCCTCCTGCCTCAGTCTTTCCAGTGCCAGGATGACTCCACTGTTGGTGTAACCCGTTACTTCAGCCATGTCCAGCTTTGTTAGCGCGCCTTCACCCCCAGAAACAGAGAAGTGAGTCCCAGGAGTTGGTCTTATTTCTGAAAAGCTAAAAGAATGGATGTTGAGTTCCTCTAAAGTGAGGTTATAGCCACTTGGACAGTCCTCGGCATAGATCTCGATGCTGCCCTTAAGCTATGACCATAGGCAAGTCACTCATGCTTGCCTTGGAGCTGATGCTCGTGATAAGTGTAAGCCCCTCCTCCTCCAGTCATGGCATTCCTCGTTGTTCTTATTACTAGCTCTCCAGAGGACAGGAATGTAACAGTAGGAGTTTCACCCCTAGCCCTGCAAGGGAGGCTGAGGGGAGAACACAGCTGTAGTGGCACACACCTGTAGTTCCAGCACTTGGAGACATGATTGTAAGTCAGAGGTCAGCCTGGGCTACATAACAAGATAAAAACGAAATGGTCTTCTAATGTCTGATTCCCAAATCCAGGGCTTTCTCCATTGCCATTCTGCCTTCAGTTTTTGCTGAGAAGTCCAATCTCTACCGGAGTCCAATATTAACCTTCTTTACTGGAGTCCAATATTAACCACAGAGGGGAATGCTAAAATAACCTTCACTAGGGGACAGTGGGACAGTGTTTACCCATATTACAAATGCCTTTGCCCCGGGGCTGGAGAGATGGCTCAGAGGTTAAGAGCACTGGCTGCTCTTCCAGAGGTCCTGAGTTCAGTTCCCAGCAACCACATGGCAGCTCACAACCATCTACAATTCAATCTGGTGTCCTCTTCTGGCATGTAGACAGAACAACTGTATGTGTAATAAATAAATAAATCTTAAAAATTAAAAAAACAAAAAACAAATGACTTTGCCCACTAGGTAGCCATCCCACTTCTAGGAAGTCATTTCAGTGTAGGTCCTGGCACAAAGGGAGAGTGTGTGAAAGGCCAGGCATCGCAGCAGTTGGAAAGAGCAGGTCAGCATCAGTGTCTAAGGACAGGCCAGTAGAGATGCTGCTCCTCCATGCGGATGGGAGGGATGAGTCACCCCTTCCCAGTGCTAAGGAGGGACAAAGGAAAATGTTAGGTAGAATCCAAAAATAATAATAATAATGGAGCTGTAGTTAAGTGTATGCATTGTTGAAGCACTTGGTTAAGTCCATAGATAGCGTCACCAAAAAAAAGGATGGGGGTGTGTTTGTTAGACCATGCAGAAAATATTTCCGAAAGGTAACATTAAGATCCTGTTGTGCAGTGAGAGCCACTAGCAAATGAAAAATTAGTTTTCTCCCAGGGGGTCTCACTGGGGAAACAAGCCATGCTTGAGAGTAGGCCCCCTGCCCAGCAGTGGATGCCAACAGAAAACAAACTGAGTGGCATCTGTGGCATCCTTTGTCTCACAATGTTAAGTCAGCCCCCCCTCCACCTTACAGGTCTTTTGTGTATATGCTAGGGCTTTGAGTTTGTAGTTTTTTGGGACCCTGTGTATGTGAATAATGGTGTCTCTGAGTCTGTATGGGTTTCTTGTGCTTTTTCTCTGGCTCGTTGTTGTTGTGTTGTTCCGTTATTTTGTCATACTCTGATTTGTTTGTTTTTATTTATTATTATTCCAGATGCCTGTCTGATCTATACAGAGAGGGTATGGATCCAGATGGAAGGGAAGCTGGGGAGGATCTGGGAGGAGTAGAGGGAGGGGAAACCGTAATCAGAGTGCTGTTATATGGGAAAAAAATCTATTTTCAATAAAAGAAAAAAAAGACCCTTGTCTATGTAAAATAAGATTGTTTCCAATTTAAATTAAAAAAGGAAAAGGCCTTGTCTTAGAGTTTCTATTGCTGTGAAGAGACACCATGACCACAAAGCTCTTATAAAGGAAAACATTTAATTGTGGTGGCTCCCTTGCAGCTCAGAGGTATAGTCCATTATCATCATAGGGGGACATGGTGGTGTGTGGGCAGACACGGTGCTGGAGAGGTAGGTGGAGCATCCTCTGTCTTGGCTTACAGGCAACAGGAAGTGATCCAAGACATTGGGCAGTATCTTCAGTATGTATGAGCCCCCAAAGCCTACCTCCACAATGACACACTTCCTCCAACAAGGCTACACCTCCTAATAGTGCCACGCCCTTTGGGGGCCATTTTCTTTCAAACCACCACAACCCTGTTGCTCACTGATTCGTCTGTGTGGCTTGAACGAGCGTGAAGGGAGACTCCTTTGTGTCTTTTAGATTCTGTGCCAAAACCAGGAAGGAGGAAGGAGGTGGCTGCAGGCTGCGGGCATTCCTGTCGTCCAGCCATTGCTTCTTCACCTCTCTTTATCTACCCTGTAACTTCCTTCTCACACATTGACGGAGAAATTGTACCTCAGACCTTGGAGAGTTTCCCCAACTTTTTTAGAATGAGCTTGGGCCATTGCTTTCCCAATGGAGTGTGACCCTGGTAGCCAGAGATGATTCAGGCTGGTGTCTCATGAGTTGAAGAGAAAGGAAGTATAATCAGTGGGGGAGGGGACAGACCCAGTCTCATGGGACAAAGGACACTATTCACAGAGCAGGACACTGAGGCTCAGAGAAATGGGGAGAACTGCTTGACATCAACACAGCCCAGCGCGGTAGAGCTAGGATTTGCCACAGCTGCCCTAGCAAGGCTCAAGACTCCCAGCCTAAGGGAGTCAGTCTGCGTAGGGAAGAAGATGAGAGTCCCCTGCAGTCCTCCACCTGCAGCAGCCAGGGTCACAGGCTACAGCTGGCCACGTCTGCCCTGTATCCCAGGGCTACTCTAGATCTGCGGACTTACTAACCACGACAGGCTGGATCAACATGATGCTTCCTCTTTGAGTGTCTCAGGTTCCTTGTCTGAGAAAGGGGCTCTTGCACTTCCTACCCCACAGCCTGTGGTATTGCCAGGGCTGAGGAATGTTAACGAGGTCGCCCACAAGCCTCTCAAGTCTGCAGGAGAGAAGGAGGGTTAGGAAGTAGGTGTCACACTCCGATGCCCAGTTTATATAATGGAGGTGTGGCTCTCTGTGGGACGGTCTGCTTGCTCGTCTGCATGTCTGTCTGTCTGTCTTTTGCTAGTGGTACACACCTGATGCCTGCCTGCAGCTCAAGGAACACTTCCACAGCAAGGTCAGCACCGCCTGCCAGCACAGGAACACGGGCACTGTTGGGTAAGCCCATGGGACAGGGGTGTGCAAGATGCAGGAAGGACGGAAGCGCCGATGCACGTGGAAATGAAAAGCGACCAGATTGAACACACAGGCTGAACCAAGGCCACTTAACTTATTAGCGGGATTTGAATCTAACTTTGCCGTAGGAGCAATTTCCCCGTTTCTCAGAATGTCATACAGATGACTTTTCAGCTGAAGGGAAGTTTCAGCGCAGGTCCGTTTTCTTTTTCTCTGATGTTGTTCGTTTTCACGGTACTTCCTATGCTCTCTTCTCTGCCCCTCAGCTTATGGCTCAGCCTCTCCTCACGCCCATTGCTAATTCTCAGGACAGGATATAGCCGTAGGGGTAGCAAAGTTCCCAAAACAAATATAAGTTCTCCCACTCCTCAGGACTAGAGAGGGAGTGGCTTAGCGGGGTAGGCCCTTCCTGCATCTAGGGTGGAAGGGTGACTCATTCAGATAGTTCAGGTAAGGAAAACCCTGGGTATGCTGAAGACACTGTTGATACCATTCTCCAGGGTGATACGGACATGTTTCCTCCAGGCTCAAGCTCTCCAAGGTGGTCGTTGTCGGCGATCTCTATGTGGGAAAGACTAGCCTCATTCACAGGTAAGTCCTCACGCTGTCAGGATGCAACACCTCCCAGCACCTTTTGTCTGAGAGCCCCAAATAGCGTGTGACTTGGGGACATGACACAGCTTTAGCCTGAGAAACTGTCTGAAGGGCGTGGCAAGAGTCAAGGAGAGGGGCTTGGAAAAATGGCTCCGTGGCACTGCACTGCCACACACAGAATTTGAGTTCCAGCACTCACACTGTGTGGCTCATAGACACTTTCAACTCCAGCTCTTGGAGTCTGACTCCTTTGGGCATCACAGAGACCTATGCTCGTACACACACACACATACACACACACACACACACACACACACACACACACAATTTAAAAGTAGATAAATAAAATTTTAGAGATAGGGAGATTGGGAGCTCAGAAGATTGGCTAGTCAAGTGCTTGCTGCATAAATACCCAAACCTGTTTTAATCCTCAGGACACATGGAAAAACAAGGTATGGCAGCGCATGCCTGTGATTCCAGCGCCGGGAGACAGAGATAGGAGGATTCTTAGGACTTGCTGTTACGGTGCCGGGAGACAGAGATAGGAGGATTCTTAGGACTTGCTGCTCAGCCAGTCTAGCCAAATCGGTCAGAGACCTTGTCTCAAAAACTGAGACGGAGAGCAATTAAAGAAAAATGCCGTGTCGTCTCTGGTCCTCACATGTGCGCATGAGCTTGCGCTTGCGCACACGCGCCATTGTGGTGAATGACAGATGGTATAGCATCCTACATGCTTAGGATTCAGCACAAGTTCCCATGGGACCCCTGCCCTGCCCTCCCTGGGAATGGACCCTTAATTTCTTTCACTATTTGTCTTATAGTGTTTGCTTTCTGGGCTAATGCAGCACCCTTCCCCCACATCATTCCTATTGGCTGCTCTGTTGCTATGGTTCAGATAAGTATTTTTTAAAAGGTCCGAGTCAAAAGGCTTGTGGTCTCCAGCTTGTGGCACTTTTTTGTAAAGTGGCAGCTCTCTCTCTCTCTCTCTCTCTCTCTCTCTCTCTCTCTCTCTCTCTCTCTCTCTCTAGATAGGGTTTTTCTGTGTAGTCCTGACTGTCCTGAAACTCACTCGGTAGACCATGCTGGCCTCCAGCTCACAGAGTTCCACCTGCCTCTGCCTCCTGAGTGCTGGGAATTAAAGGCGTGGCCACCACCTCCCGGCTCAGTGGCAGATCTTTTTGAGGTAGAGCCTTGTGGAAGCTTGTTAGGTCGTTGGGATGTACACTTGAAGTGATCCGTGCTTCCTGGCCAAGAGGGACTTTTTTTCTTCTCACCACCAGTTCAAAGCAACATGGGCCGAAGCCTCTGGAACCACAAGCCCAGATGAGCTTTACCTCATGGGTTGGCATCATCTCAGGAGTTTGTTCCAGCAATGGAAAGCTGATTAACATGCCTGTACACCCACAGCCTCTGTGCACCATGACTTTCCTTGCTGTATTATGCTTTTTTGAAACAGGATATAATTTTTTTAGCCCTGTCTGGCCCAGAACTCCCTATGTAAACCAGGCTGACCTCAGACTCACAAAGATCTGCCTGCCTCTGCCTCCCTAGGACTGGAACTAAAGGCATGGGCCACCACACCCAGCCACCATCACTTATTGGCTCCCTACTGCGGGGCTCTTCCTTCCTTCAGTCTTTCCCTGCTGTGAGCATCTCCACCCTCTGATGACTTCCTCGCCTCCCACAGGTTGTGCAAGAATGTTTTTGACCGTGATTACAAGGCCACTATCGGGGTAGACTTTGAGATTGAGCGCTTTGAGATTGCAGGGATCCCCTACAGCCTCCAGATGTAAGTCTCTGTTGATGTGGTTCCCAGATCTCCCCAGGGGGGCCGGGGGAAGACCTAAGCCAGATCTTTTTCCTCGTCACCCCATGGTGCTCAGCAAGGATGTGTCTGGACAAGCATGGCCCCGGGTGTTTGTTGAAAAACAGGCTCCGTGGTTTGTGGTCCCTAGATCTCTCTCCATCCTCACAGCTGCCGAATGTTGGTCAGCTGATCTAGGAATGGTCGTGCAAGCCCGATCGGCTCTTCCACCAGCTCAACTCCCCGATAGCTTCTTCCTGAGGTTCAGCCTTCTTCCCCCGTTGAACCTCCTGTAATCTCCCAAGCAGCAGGTTGGCCTCTGACAATTTTCTCCTGAGCTCTATTCTCCCTGCGGTCTTGGGTAGTGGTCCCTGTGTGAAGAGGGTTCTGCTGGAGGCCACCTGCCCTGATCCCTTCCTCCAGCCTGACGTTCTCCATCATGCTGTGTTCCTCTGTCAATGTCCATCGTGCTGTCACTTCCCTCTGTGTACGTTCCTGTCCATGTGCTTCTCCCCCCACTCACGCTGTCTTCTCTACTAACCCCGTCTTGCTTTAGACTCTCAGTGGTGCACTGGGTGTCTGCCCCCCCCCCCCCCCCATTTTCCTCATGTCAGCGCAAGCCCTTCTCAGGGTGAAAGCACTGTGTGCTTTGGGCCTTATTCTCCCTAACCCTCCCTCTAGGATCTGCAGGCCTGCCCAGCCACCAGACCCCTGTGCTCCCTGGTGAGGCCCCTCCCTCCTCCCTGCTGTCTTGTTTATCGATCACCAAGCCTTTGTTCTAGTCCCCTTCCCTGTCTTCCTCCTTGGCTTTTAATCTTATTCCTCTGAGCCCTGCCTGGGCTGGGCCCTCAGCTCCTGTGTCAGCTCCCATCTCCATAGAGACAGTGCCCCAGTATAATCCTGGAGCCAGATGATAACACATCCTGTCCAAGGGTGAGCACAGGGTTGGTTCTGAGCAAAAGACGATATGGAAACCTAGGGCTTCATGACTGAGGGTTCTGGAAAGCCGAGAGGAGCAAAGGTGTGGTCTAGAGGGAGCAGCCACGTGGAGCTGTACAGATAGTGACCGGCAACTGGGCTCTCACTGATTCTCCAGGCAGTCTTGAGTTAGAGGGCCCAATGTAAAATAGGCACTGCCTGGCCACAGACTCTCGGGATCTTGAGGCCATTGCCAGCCAGCTGCCTAGCTTACTCTGTGCCCATCCCCCACCCAGAGGCTTCTCCAGAGATGATGAGAAATGAACCAATAAATGAAGGACTGTAGCCCACAAGTCTTCATTATGCCGAATTGCTCAAAAACAAATTCAGATCACTGATACCATATTTGTGGGTTATTGTTTTTTAGTCTGCTGAGAAAAATTAAATGCTGACCTGTTGACTTTAAAAAGTGATGGATCACCGGGCGGTGGTGGTGCAGGCCTTTAATCCTAGCAGAGGCAGGCAGATCTCTGTGAGTTCAAGACCAGCCTGGTCTACAAGAGCTATTTCCAGGACAGCCTCCAAAGCCACAGAGAAACCCTGTCTCGAAAAAAACAAAACAAAAAAAGTAATGGATCTAGATTAGGTTTCAGGATCATCCCTGCATAGTAACAACCTTTTAAGCCTAGCATGTCACCTTCCCATCTTCTGTCTTGTACCCATGCACACATATCAACCTGCTTTGCACCCCTTGAACATCTAGTTGATCTCTAGATCCATGAAAAAAGCAATGGAAGGAGATGTGTGCCTGTTAGCCCCAGGGAGCTACTGTGCTGAAGGCCTGCCCTGGAACCGTGGCCTTGACCTCTTATAGAACATATAAGGTCCCTTATAATGTCATTGTCAGAAAGGGCTGTAATTTTGTCAGAGCTGTAGCTTTGTTTATCTGGACAAGGCAGTTTGCCTTGTCCCCTACTGGCACTGTGGTCTGAGGAAAGAACCCAGGAAAGATGACAGGGAGGTGGAGTCAGGGAGAACTGGGTCACCCAGGCACTTCCTGCTGGTCACGTGTGACTGGCATGCTCGTATAGGTCTTCCGATCTTACAACCTCACTATACTGTTGCCTGGGAATTCTGTGAATGGTTAACCTGCCCCCACTATTTTCCTGTCTCCCTCTCGGCCTCACAGCTGGGACACAGCCGGGCAAGAGAAGTTCAAGTGCATCGCATCTGCCTACTACCGAGGTGCCCAGGGTGAGCAGCGGAATGACACTGGAGCTCTCAGCCTATGCCATCTGCACAAACACTCCTGCTGTGCTCCGGGAGCCACGGGGATTGCACTGTAGCCAGTGCTTAGGGATGAAGGGGCTGCCCGGATGATGAGACCCTGGCTGTCTTTGACAGCCACACCCTAAGGAAATCTGAAGTATCAGGTGCAGGCAGCCTCAGCCCCAGTTTTCAACTCGAAAGGAGTACTCTTGTGGATCCCAAAAAAGAGAGATGGCGGGGAAGATGAGGAGAGGCTTCTCCTGTCTTAGCCAGAGGGGATAGGCTAGAGGGGAGTGACAGGTGGACCTAGCAGGGTTGGCAAGTCCTATATGGGGGCCTCAGTGCCCACTGCCAACATGATCAGGGGTGGCTGCTGGGGCTGAGCAGGGTTCAAAGTCGGCAGAGATGGCAACGTGAGGTCCCCAGGAAGGAGAGAGAAGTAGGATCTAGTAAGGGGTAGGAAAGCCATCAGAAGGACCCCAAGCAGGCTCAAAGTCATGTCCTTCTCAGCGGTGGTGTGAAGAAGCGAGAACACATATAAGCTGAGCTGTGGGTCTTCTCTGGCCTCCTATAGCTATCCCTCTCCTAACCTTTCTCCCTGAGGGGCTGCTGCCTCCCCGGAGCCAGTGGTGCAAGGTGCCTAGGACATTTTCTGTAAACAGTACTCGCCATGCCCGTCACCGGTAGGATTATCATCAGCCAAAGGATCCAGGAAGCCCTCGTCCAGCGTGGTCTTTCTCCCAGTAGGACAGCAGAGAGCACACCTCTGCCTGGACCAACCTCCTGTGGGCTTCCCCTTGGGGAATCCAGGGCAGACTCTGTGTTGAAAAGAATTGACCACAGAGACACCCAACAGTTTGCTGCCCACGTAGCGCCACAAAAGCCGTTTCATTTAACTGGTTGTTACTAATCCCCATCCTTCAATTAAAAGTCTGCCCAGGGTCAGGCCCCAGACCAACAGCTTTTCAAAACAGTGTCGCTGCTGACAGCGAGGGGGTCCCATTCTCATCACTGTACAGACGGGGACAGCAGGTTCTCCACAGTTTCAGCCCCCACCCAAGCCCATGGGGCCACAAGTGGCAGAGGGTCTCTTGCCAGAGTCTACTTGCTTCAGGTCTTTCACCGTGCCCTGCCCCCTGCTGCTAGGTAGAGGTTTGGAGGGTTCGGGAGGGGTGGCGAGAAGGCAGGTCCAAGGGGGCCACCACAGGGTGACTCCTCACTAGTCTCCACAGTGGCCCCCCAGTGGTTCCTTGCCATCTGGGAAGATACCTAGGAGAACCTCCCCCATCACACCTGTCGCTGATTGGCTGTTGGCTTTCCCCATGTCCAGTGATCATCACAGTCTTTGACCTCACTGACGTGCAGACGCTGGAGCACACCAGGCAAGTAACCCCAGGTCCTACCCATCTGTGTGTCTCTGAATGTCACCTGGACTCGTGACACTGTCCCTCAGTGCTCCCAAACCCCAGCCTCTGGGCTGGACCCAGAATGGTGGGCACTTACTGCCCAGGTCCCCACTGACCCCTAAAGACTTATCCTATCTGTTGCTCAGGAGCTCAAGCTGACAGGCCACCCTGGGCTTTGATAGCCTGCTGCTGCCGCCGTGTCGGAAATCTTCATTTTGAACAAGAGGCCCATCTTTTCACGTTTACCTTGGCCTCTAATAATTTCATAGCTAATCCTCCCTGACAGAATATTTTTATTGGGCAGAGATGTGGGCAAATGACCAACTTCAGAGGACCATCACCTGCCAGAAATAATCCATCTAATGGACCAAAGCCCCTTTTCCCTATGTTTGCCTGGGCCGTTCACATCCACATCTTCCAGGCCCTATGATGGAGACAGGGATTGTTTTTCCAGCTGATAAAGGGCGAAAGCCACACTAGGAGTCTTTACCTCTCCCAAACCAGTGCCTTTGTGTTCCCAGTTCCTTCTGGTCCCACGGAGGCCCTTCTGGCCCAGCACCAGCATCCACTTAGTGTAGATCAGGGCACCTTCCCTGTCCCTCCTGCTGCCCATGCCTCGTTTCCACTCTGTCCATTCTAGGCAGTGGCTGGAGGATGCACTGAGGGAGAATGAGGCAGGCTCTTGCTTCCTCTTCCTCGTGGGAACCAAGAAGGATCTCCTGGTAAGCAGAGTGAAGCTGAAGGCCCAACCCCAAGGGACTTGCCAGAAAGTGCTCGCTCGTGTTTGCAGCTCACTTTTGAGGAGCAGTGACCAACACTGCCATGCCGCCTTGTGTTGGACTTCAAAGAAGGCTATGGAACTGAAGAGAGCACTCAAGCTCCCATGCTCCCTCCCTAAGAGGTGGGATGACTCAGGTTTCCCCGGGGACCACTAAAGTATCAGCCCTAGGTGAGCAGCATCCCTGCACTAGGAGCATCCCTGTAGTAGGTCACCCCACCCCACCATCTGGTTGGGGTGATTGTGAGAGAGGTGGCCATTCCATTCCAGAGACTCCCTGAAACAAAGCCTGAGATACCGGGTCAGCCAGGGCTGTTTCTCCCAGTCAGGGGCAGCGTGTGAGCAAGTTGAAGCAGAAGCTGTGCACCTGGCCAATGAGCTGCGGGCAGAGTACTGGTCTGTATCAGCCAAAACCGGTGAGTAGTGCACCCCACATGCATTTACTACCAAAAGACTGCAGGAGGCAGAAGTAGGCAGAGCAAAGTTGGAAAACCTGGCTTCTGGGGAGATGAAATGAAAGGACGTAGTTCTACGGCCATGGGAACTCAGAAATCAGGCTGGTATCCTTGCCTCCGGTGCACAGAGACACTGTGTATCTGGCTGCCACAGAGTGGGTATGGATTGAATCTGGAAACGCCACCTCTAGGCCACCACAGACACCTGGCAGTGCGCATGCGTGGAGCCATCTGCCGCTCTTTTCCCAGCACACGTGTCCTTCTACCCCACAGCCCCCGCCCTCCCTGATCACAGTAACAGCAGGCTGGCTGGAATCCCACTGGAGCACAAGTAGGGTTATTCTGCGCAGTTGCACAGGTCGTTGCTGCACATAGCAGTGTTGGTGTCGGGTACTGGGACCTCTAGGAGGAGGCATACAGATCCCATGTGAGGGCCAACAGCACACATTCAAGCTTGTCCCGGGTTGTACAAGTGTTCAGTAGCAAGCAGTTGAGAGAGAAGGTGCTAGGGAAGGAAGGCTCAGAACTTTGAGGGAGTCGCTGGCGGTGCGGTGGGGCAGCAGGGTAGAGATGGGGACCAGAACCCATTGGGAAGCCAGGTTGCCACCCAGCACTGTGTCGCCGCCCATGGATGGGCTGGCGACTTAGTGCTCTGGAAGGCTCATGGCTGGCCTAAGGATGGCCTTACCTAGCCCTTGCCCGTGATGCGCCTGAGGGCCGCATGAGTCATAGCTGTCTCGTGGGCCCCCAGGGGAGAACGTGAAGGCATTCTTCAGCCGTGTTGCCGCCCTAGCATTCGAGCAGTCTGTCCTTCAGGACCTAGAGAAGAGACCCAGCACCCAGTCCCAGGTCGGAGATGGAGATGGAGACCTAATCCGTGCGTACAGAGGGGGCTGGGCGGGGCTGAGGAGCAGGAGAGGGACCAGAACTCCAAACCCACCATTCTTAATTTGCTACCCTTGCTGTCCTCTTGTGACCTTTGAGCTGGTACCATACCCAGGCTTACAGCTTCCATGACCCCACCTGCCAACTCCAGTCACCTGCCCCAGCTCCCCTGATCTCCGCACAGCCTCCTCTTGGGCCAGGCTTCAGATGTGTCTTGCCTCCAGCTTAATCTTAATGCTACAACTCCCAACTGTCCCCTACGCCCCTCCCACTCCATGTCATCCAGGCTTTGGAGGACAGGCCCAGGGGACAGAGTTCAGGGCCCCAGCTGTCAGGGTAGAGTAGTCTTTGCCCAATGTCAGCCATAGGATGCCTGTTTGATGCTCTTACTTTCCTATCTTTGTAGGAATAGAAGTACCCAAGACCCAGGAGAACAAGAGGCCACCTGGCCTGGGCTGCTGTTAGCTGAGGCCAGCATCAGAGCCATCTACTCCCTGCATACACGTGGGGTGACATGGAGCCAAAACTCTGTGGTAGATACGCCTTCCAGCTGGAGAAGGCCTGTGTCTCCAGGGCTCAGCCATTTCCCTTTGGCACAGCCCCACTGGCTGCTGAGGCTCCATACTGTCTAGCTGGTTGTGGGGGCACACTGGGGTGAGCCTTCTCCCTGTAGGGTCTTCAGACTGTCTCTGTGGTCTCAAGAGGCTTCAAGACTGCAAACTTAGGACACTCAGGGTTAGCCCACATCCTTTACCCAGTCATATTGGCAGTCACCCCAGAGCCCTTCCCTGCTGATCCTAGATGAGGCCTCTGACCCCCCATCTCCATGTTCTAGGCACCAAGACTTGTCAGTAAAACTCACCTGCCATCCCACCTGGGAGTTCTGGGTCATGGGGCATCAGACCTAGATATCTGCTTTCCCTCTGCCACAGAATTTCAGGACCCTTGAGCTCCACTGTTAAGTACAACGGGAGAAGTCCATTTGGCTCCTCTGGCAGAGGCCTGCCTCTGTCTCAGAGATTCCCATGGTCCTGCCCTGCATGTCAGCAGATGAGAAGGGAGACCTCTAGCCCATCGGAAGACGAATCACCATGACTATCCCGAGAGATGACAATTGTATGGAATCCCCCTGGCAGCCCATTCCACACCCCCAAGCCTGATACTGCTCCATACTGTCACCTGTGCCCATCCCTGCCAACCTATCATGTGTCTCTCCAACTGGCCTGCCTATCTCGGGATGTTGGCAATGGACCACATACCTCTGGAGGACTTGGGACACTGTCTAACTCCCCCCCCCCCCATATAGGGTCTCCTGTAGTCCATGCTGGCCTCCAACTCTATATGTATCTGAGGCTGACCTTGGATTTTATTTGCCCTCCATCTCCCAAGGGCTGGGATCACAGACGTGTACCACCATACCCAGGAACACCTGCTCCTTAAGCATAAGCGTTTGTAGGCGGCCGTGTTGGTCAGTGCCCTTTTCTAAGTGTCTGGCATACCGCACATTTCCATGACTGTTCGTTAACTCAGTGGTGGCCAAACATCCGAGAACACTGACATTTTCTTGTTCAATACCAGCATTCATTAGCTTCATTTTAGTTCTCCCGCCTTCCCCCCACCTCTCTCTTCCCCTCCCTCTCTCTAAAACAGGGTGGCCTTAAACTTGCAGCAATCCTCCTGCTTCTGCCTCCCCTGTGCTGGGGTTACAGATGAGGAGCACACATTTGGCTCAAGCTCTTTTATTTTAAAAAGTATACAAAACATCTCTTAAAAGGAATGAAATGTTTGGTGTTAAACTAGGAGGTAAGAATATAAACAAAAATACTTCTGCCCCGAAATCAGATGTACTCTTTGAAGTGAACATGGTTAAGAGTTGATAAAATTCCTTCTGGGCTGTCTTTTCCCGCCCCTTCTGTGTGCAAATCTCCATGTTTGTTGGCTTGTCTCTCCAGAATGCCCTTGTACTGTGCACACTGCCTGATGGGCTACCTGCCCAACGATCTGCCCTGGTGTCTCACTGTGGGTGCGTGCCAAGCCTTCCCACACTTCAGCAAAACATACAGTTTCCTTAGTGGCCAGGCTGAAGTTCATTTGACTTCCTTATCTTCTGGTCAGCTGGTTCGTGTCCTGCTGCTCTTAGTGTTCACCCATAGTACTTTAGAATTTTCACAAAGGGTCTTGGTGGGCTCGTCTCTGAACTGTGACCCCCTGCCTTGGTCCACCATGACATGGCCAGTTAGGGACAGATTACATTGTTGTTGCATTAGGGAGGTCTGGTCTAGTGGGTATAGCATCATGCTTCACAGGGTGGAAATACATAGCAATGGTGACCTGAAGCCTCCCCTCATCCTTCCAGGTCCTAGGATGGTGATGCAGAGGGTGACCTGTCATGAGCTCCAGAGCTAGAAGTACATTGTTGGGCATACACCCATGCCTCTGTAGATGAGAGTTTATTAAACTCTCCTTGTGTTGCTCACCACAGTGTGCGAGCATGTTTCTGTGGGTCCTGACTCACAAGATTCAGACGTTTCTCTGCCAATCAACAGTATTGTCTTAATATGTCTGTGTGACTAAAACCCATACCGTTGGCTGAGTATGTTATAAGCAGCATACCTCACCCCTCCCAAACTCTCCCACCAAGCCTTACCCCAGCATAGTCTGCTCCCTGAGTCTGCATGGTGTTCCCTTAGTCACGCAGCAGTGGTGATTCAAGCTCCACAGTGACCAGAACAGCCCCTGGTGTCCTGGTTGCTTGTTTCTACCTTCCTAGTTCTGTTATGAGCCACAGCGATCCAGCAGCCACAGCACTATAGCCCAGCGGATAGAGACCATTCCCAGATAAGCTTAATTTTCCAGAGGAACCCAGGGTGCCTTAAGCTAGAACTATGATCACCTAACACCTAGGTAGTTGAACATAGAGGTAGACAGGATTGGTTATATTTATATAGTCATACAACTCTCTATCTCTGTCTCCACCCCCGTGTGTGTGTGTGTGTGTGTGTGTGTGTGTGTGTGTGTGTGTGTTTGAGACAGGCAGACTGACCCATTATATGATCTAGGACAGCCTCAAACTAAAAATATCCCCCATCTCTGCTTCCTGAGTGCTGGGATTTACAGGCATGGAGCATACTAATTATTCTGGAGTTTCTACAGCCTACAATCCTTCCAGTTATTAATTCCCCAATCCACACAAGACTCTCCGTGGAATGTGGCCCCATAAAAGTGCAGGCTGAGAACACCAAATAGCTCTGTCCACACATAATCCTGGGCCTTGTGACACAGTGGCATATTGACAAGGAATTCTGGGTGGAGGGCAGACCATAAAGAGAACCGGGCAACGGGAGGTGTGAGAGCTGAAGCTGGGAGTTTTCAGAACTACACAGCGCAGGGAGCCCCTCCTCTGAATAAGAAGTGAGTTTGGATGGGCCCTGGGCTTCAGATACTGCCCTGAGACAGGGCCCCCCAGGGCTCCCGGGGCTCCTCTGCCATCTGCTGTGGCCTCACATGTCACTTCCCATATGCAAGGCCTTCCCCGGAGAGAAGCCGATGGGCAGGCACAAGTACAGCCATCGCAATTGCCTCCATCCAGGCAGTACAGGGCCTTCATTGCCTCCCTGTAGCCCAATGCGTCACTGGCATTCAGAGCCACCAGCTATCCGTGTGAGCCTGCACCGCAGATGGATGCAGCTTCCTGGGCTGTTGTGGGAAGGCTTTTTACTCAGCCTGCCTCGTCCTAGCCTTCTGGGAGTCACAGCAAACCTGGGGCTGCTTCCCATACCAGGGGAGGAGGCATCCCTGACCTACAGGTATTCTGGGCCTCCGGTGATGCAAAGTGGAAACCTGGACCACCTTACCGGCCATCCCCTCACTAACAGGTTCATCGCACTCTGCCCTTCTGCCGGCAAAGGCTGCAGACAACAGTCAGGAGACTGCACTGGCGTGACTTCAGAAGGGTCATCAATAATTGATCCTGCAGAAGGTGGGTGGAGCTGCCGCTAATGAAAGTCCCGCTCGGTCATTGGGAGCCTGGGCCAGCAGCGCCAGAGAAGACCCACTGCCTGCAAGTGTACCCTACTGAGATCCCCGCTGCCTACTGTAGTCCAGGGATGTGTAAGCTTGGAGGAGGTCCACCAGCCAAGCACTGTTCAGCACAGCATGAGCAAACAGGGCTAGAGAGCCGCCGTATTGATGCTGTTGCCCTGAAGATGACAGATGACATGATGGATAACACAGCCACATCCCACTTAAAAGGGAGCCTTCCTCCTGCCTCCAGCAGGGATGGAGATAGGTCTAGGTCAGCAACTTCTCCTATGTGCACAGCTGCCACAGACCTCACCACCACACTGTACAACTCTCTCATCAAAAATATCAAGCAGCGCCCCCCCCCCACTGCATGGAATGACACAGTAGCTGCTGGGGGTACTTAAATATAAATTCACTGAAGTTCAATTAAACATTCCATTCTTTGACAAGCTGAAGTCACACTGGAATGCTGGGATCCACAGGCAGAGAGAGGGTGGTGGGCACACGGACAGCAGAACATACCCCATGGTGGGAAGTTCCAGACCATGCAGGTTGAGACCCATTTGGGGCTGGCCCACCTACGAGGTCATCTCCTAACTTAGCCGTTCCGCAAATAGCTGTATCCTCGAAGCCGCCGCCTCGTCTATCTGTTCTGTTGTAGGACTAGCCCATTATCACCTGTTTAGACTGCCCTTTCCCCCAACGTTTGTCTCATTCTCTGCTAACTCTGTCTCTCTCACAATCTCTGTCTCTCTGTCTCTCTCTTACACACACACACACACACACACACACACACACACACACACACACACACCCCTCCCGGCATGTGACTCTTCTGGGCTGCACAAATATCCCAATTTGACCACTACTTGCTGCCAGTCTGAATGCTTGCAGAGTTAAGATCTAGCGGGAACACACAGTGGATGAGGAGACAGGTTGTAGTATGTATGGACCCTATGTGTCCTCTTATACTGTTCCCTTACAGGTGGACAGATGATGAGAACGCGCCATAGGAAAAGAGAGAGAGGCAGGGAGGGAGAGGGCAGTCCTGTGCAGAAGAGGACCAGAAGCTTTATGTTAGCACTCCTTCAGGAGGGTCCTGAGGACAGATGAAAATTCTCAGGGCTGGAAAAGGCCCTCTGAGTGGGGGTAAGAAAGCCACTATCTGGATGTGTCCTTATTCTCAACAAGCAATTTGCTCTGTCAAGGGACAGAGCCCGCAAAGCCCAATAAACAGCTTCTGAGCTTTAAAAGCAAATGTATTTATTTATAAAATATTAAAAGCTACCATGCTGGCATATAAGTGTAGTCCCAGCTAGCTCAGGAGGCTGAAGCAAGAAGTGGGTCACTCGAGTCCAGAAGTATGGGCCCTCGTCTCAAGATAAACGAACAGCTAGTAAATAGAAAAAGAGATTCAAGTATAGAGAGCATGGCTCAGTGGAAGAGTGGTTGCCTAGCATGCACAAGGTCCGGGGTTCAAACTCCCAGCACCCCATTCACCCAAAACTCTACAGAAATAATTAAAATAGCGCTGAGTTGGAGTCTGAACCAGAGAGTTACCCTACTGATGAGCAATGCCACCCTCCTCCATTAAAGTACTCCTTCCTGTTCCACACATTAGTGGGTATATGGGCCCTAACCAGCCTACTGGAACTGAACGACCAAATCAACAAGGGAAAAAGATTTTGTCTTTTTTCAGATGGCCAGGAAATAGGGTTCCAGAGGCCTGAATTCTCATCTTGCCTGGCCCACTTATTGAATGACTCCATCAGATCATTACAGGCGGCAGCTAGTATTGATTGTGACCCTGTGAGGTCACGGCTTTTTTTTTTTTTTTTTTTTTTTGTGGAGCGTTGGGGATTGATCCAATGGGCTTGCCAAATAAGACCTCTTAAGACCTCTTCCACTGAGCCACACACCCCCAGCTAGGAGCAGGCTTTTTAACATCCATTTTAAAGGTGAGCCTACTGAAGAAAAGAACATTATTCACTACGGTGCTTCTGGGATGTCTGCCGCCATGGCCCCAAAGTCAGGTCACCAGCAATTACCTTGTTTACTGCCTGCTGGGCCAGAGAAGGGTGAGGTAGGCGGGGAATGAGATGAAAGAGGTCTGCAGAGGGCAGTCGCGAGCTGCACAGCGTGCTGAGCTGGGCTCCGAAGGCTCGCCCGCCCTGCCGACGTTCCCACAGACTGAACCCACGGGTGCAGAAAACAGCTACAGATGAGGACGAGAGTGAGTTCCAGGGAGGAAAAGAGAATCACGAGACCACACGGTCGAAGTCAGGGAGACCCTGCTAATCTAGCCGCTGGTCCTGGGCTCCATTTCGCTAAAAGAGACTGTTTACAACCAAGGAAATAAGGGGGGGCAGGTGCTCTGGTTTTGTCTCAATTCTGGGGAAACTGAGGCACGGAGAGGAAAAAGTAATCAGAACTCAGGCTGTTCTTCAGTTGCCAAATCCCCTTTCCTTTCACCTCACCCGGCACGCTGGCCTGGATTTGCTTTTATATAGAGGAGACTCCCTCCTGAGAGTGTCTCTGCTATGCGCCTCAGATCATTAACCTTCTCTGGAAACCATCAAAGGTTTCCTATCTTCCACCCAGCTCCGAGGCTAAGAAAGAGGTTTGTGATCCCTTCAGAGAAAGAGAGAGACCGCGCAAATACTACACTGGAGGCCAAAAGTCAGGACTCGGGGAGGAAGACGCTTTGTATGAGCTGAGGGAGAGACATTCCTATTCATCACTCGGTGGAAGGAGTCCCGTGACAACTGTGTGGCCATTGTTCAGCTTTACCACCCACCTCAGATCTCCTACACCAGAGGCTTGCTGGCTGGCCCTCGGGCCGCTGGCATGGGGGACCCAGCCTGGCCATGGCTGTCTCATTGGGTGGCCTGCCCTAGTTGATTTCTCTGTAGTGTGGATCCTCCTGAGTGTTTCCCTGGTGCGGTCACCACCGAGGTTGGTAGGTGCCTTGGCAGTGCAGAAATGGGGAACCAGGTATTTCTGTTCGAGGTGTGAAGAACTAGTCAGGGCCTCCACCGTGGAGGGATCGCTCGGAACCAACCGATCTGGGGAGCCCCTGTGTCCAGAGTGGGGTTAGACCCGGTAGCCGCCGTCCTGGTCTGTTTCAAGGACCCGGCCCTCTTCCCGTGGCGCGGCCCCTTTAAGAGGCGCGCCCGGGCACCGTCAGCCGCTCCGCGGCCACCGCCCCCCGGTCCTCCCCTTCCTGCGGCGTTGAGTGCGGGTCGGGGCGGGAGTGCGGCGAGAGGTGGCCGGGCAGGTCGCGGCGCCTGCCAGGAAGGCTGCGGGGCAGAGGGGCGGTGCGGTGCGGTGCGGTGCGGTGCGGTGCGGTGCGGTGAACCGGAGGCGAGGAGCACGCGGGCCGCGCTCGTGAGCCCGCGGCGGCCCTGCTCTGCGCAGGACGGCTCCCGCCGCTGCGCGCGCCGCGGAGCCCCGCACACAATAGCGGCGTGCGCAACCCCGCGCCCTTCCCCCGCCCGCGCGCCCCCCCCAGCCCCCGCCGCCGCCGAGCCGCCCGCCTCACCTGCGGCCCCCGGGGGGCGGGCATTGTTCGCCGCCGCCGCCGCCACCGCGGGGCCATGGGTGCCGCCGGGCGCCCCGGGCCGGGCCCGGTGAGAATGTCGCGCCGCCGCTGAGACGGGCTCCGGCGTGCAGCCCCGCGGCGCAGGTGAGCCGGCCGCGCCATGGTGGACTCCGTGGGCTTCGCCGAGGCGTGGAGGGCGCAGTTCCCGGACTCGGAGCCACCGCGTATGGAGCTGCGCTCGGTGGGTGACATCGAGCAGGAGCTGGAGCGCTGCAAGGCCTCCATTAGGCGCTTGGAGCAGGAGGTGAACCAGGAGCGGTTCCGCATGATCTACCTGCAGACGCTGCTGGCCAAGGAGAAGAAGAGCTACGACCGGCAGCGCTGGGGCTTCCGCCGCGCCGCGCAGCCCCCGGACGGCGCCGCCGAACCCCGAGCGCCCGCCCCGCGCCCGCCGCCCGCTCCCGCCGACGGCGCTGACCCGGCGCCGGTCGAGGAGTCCGAGGCGCGCCCGGACGGAGAAGGGTCACCGGGGAAGGCACGGCCGGCGTCCGCCCGCAGGCCAGCGGCTGCAGCACCGGCCGACCGGGACGACCGAGGGCCCCCCACCAGCGTGGCGGCGCTCAGATCGAACTTCGAGAAGATCCGCAAGGGACCTGCCCAGCCCGGCTCTGGCGACGCTGAGAAGCCCTTCTACGTGAACGTCGAGTTTCACCACGAGCGCGGCCTGGTGAAGGTCAACGACAAAGAGGTGTCCGACCGAATCAGTTCTCTAGGCAGCCAGGCCATGCAAATGGAGCGCAAGAAGTCCCAGCAGAGCACTGGGCAGGGGCTGGGGGAAGCGCCCAGACCCCACTACCGAGGACGCACCTCGGAGAGCAGCTGCGGCCTCGACGGGGACTACGAGGATGCGGAGTTGAATCCCCGCTTCCTGAAGGACAACCTCATCAACGCCAACGGCGGCAACAGGCCCCCTTGGCCGCCCCTGGAGTACCAACCCTACCAGAGCATCTACGTCGGAGGTATGATGGTGGAGGCGGAGGGCAAGGGCCCGCTCCTGCGAAGCCAGAGCACTTCCGAGCAGGAGAAGCGCCTCACCTGGCCCCGCAGGTCCTACTCCCCCCGGAGTTTCGAGGACAGCGGAGGTGGTTACACCCCGGACTGCAGCTCCAATGAGAACCTCACCTCCAGCGAGGAGGACTTTTCCTCTGGCCAGTCCAGCCGCGTGTCACCGAGCCCCACCACCTACCGTATGTTCCGGGACAAGAGCCGCTCACCCTCGCAGAATTCGCAGCAGTCCTTTGACAGCAGCAGCCCCCCGACGCCGCAGTGCCAGAAGCGGCACCGGCAGTGCCAGGTTGTGGTGTCTGAGGCCACCATCGTTGGTGTCCGAAAGACCGGGCAGATCTGGCCCAGTGATGGGGACAGCACCTTCCAGGGGGATGCAGGTGAGTGTGGGCGTCGTACTTGGACCTGCTCAGGACTCAGGGAGTAGATTGGCATGGGGGAAATGGGTACCTTATTGGCGTGATTTTCAAGCGCTGTTGTGTTTCTTTGGTCCTGCGCCTGAACTAACTCCCCTCCCTTTCCTCCTGCCTCCTGAAGGCCAATGGGCTGGGGGTGGGAGAATATAGGGGAATGGCTGGTGACTTAACTCTCTTGGTTCTAGATCCAGAGCAGGTAGGTTTTGCTGAAGTATTTGCAGAGAGACTCCCCCCGTGCTCTCTCCATGCTAGACAAAAAATGTCAGAGCCATCTCTGCCACCTAGATCAGTTCCTTTGAGTGGGGTGTCTGCTGTGCTTGGATAGCTCCTGCCACCTGGTTGTTCTGGTCTTGGAGTGGTTATATGACACCTAGGGGAACCCAAGATGTGCACGCTGCCTCAAGGTCTTAGACGTGTCAGATTCTCTTGTTAGCAAGTGAGAGCAGATGAAGATAGGCGTTAGAAGGAAGTGGGGTGAGTTCTGACTCAGTGGGCCCCCGAAAATCAATAGGTTGGAGATCTCATGCGGGGCTAATCCCACACCGTCCTAATCTCTACTTGGCTTTGATATGTCTCACCCACCATTACTCACCCATAGACCCCTCCTCCTCCCCCACTGCCAATGAATTTTGTCTGTCTGTCTTTCTCTTTGGTGGTTCTGGGATTCAAACCCAGAGCCTTGAACATGTGAGCTGTGCTGTGCTACACCAGTAGGTCTACACCTACATCCTGAGGTCTGAGCTACATCTTTCAGGCCCCATCTTCTTTTCCGGTCCTCCAGTGTGCCCTTGCCCCCTCATTTTCCCAAGGATGACCACTCAACAGATTCTGGTCTTGAGTTCCTAATCCATGACCCCAGCACTAAGATGAAACAATAACTTCTTTGCGGCACTCAGGTACCGTGGGCTATGTGGGGTGATGGGACTAGGTTTTGAGATCTAGGCAGAATCTTAAGTTGGAGTAAGGGAGGGGTGCTAGCGCCCATGGGATTTGGGGGTGGACAGCTGTCAGGAATCTCTTGGAGTCCTTGACTGATCTGGGCTTTTGCTTCAGTGATTTTTTTCCTTTCTTTCTGCTGATGGAGTTGCACGTGCTTCATTCGCCAGAATCCTCTTGAAAAAGTGAGGCTATTTTTGGCTGTATTAAGCTGCCTTTTTAAGCTCAGCACTCTGTCCTGTTTAGGACCTCGGGTTGCTGCTCTCCCGTGTGCATCTGGGTTGATGGCAGTGTGTAGCTGGACCCATCTACCTGTATCCTGGTTCAGCTGCATTCCTTGTCTCTAGTGCAGGAATGAGAAGCTATGGGAGTCAGAAGTTTGCTTTGTAGGAATATAAATCAGCTCCTCTCAGGTCTGGAGGCTTGCCCAGTGATGACTGGGCACCAGCCATTTCCAGCCAGCTGTTTGCGAGTTGAACTTGCTTGAGCTGGCCTTCGGTGCTATGATGGTTGGGGATGTCATTAATTAAGGACATGAGAGGCTTGCGTGGAGACCTGCAGTCTGGTACTCTGTTGCTGGTAGGGAACTCTGAGTCTCCAGAAAGTTGAGTCTAGCCTTTCCTATACCTACCATAGAAATGGCCATGTTGCCCTCCACAAATCACACAGAGTAGGTCAAAGTAGGAATAAGAAGGAAATGGGACCCAAGAGACATACAGGTTAGTTTTCTCAGGAAGTGGCTCAGAAGTTACTATTATTTTTTTTAATATTTTATTTATTTATTGTGTATATAGTCCTCTGCCTGCATGCCAGAGGAGGACACCAGATCTCATTCAGGGTGGTTGTGATACACCATGTGGTTGCCGGGAATTGAACTCAGGACCTCTGGAAGAACAGTCAGCGCTCTTAACCGCTGAGCCATCTCTCCAGCCCCCAGAAGTTATTTTTATATTTCGGAACTTTCTGAATCTTTCTTTGACTATCCTGGAGCCCCACATTCTCTCTTATTTTTCCCTAAAACATTTTTTGTGCCTTTTTGAGATTGGGTCTCCTTGTAAGAGTCCTGTCTAGATTAAAACTCGCTTTGTAGTTTACTGCTGGCTTTCAGTGTGCAGTGAGCTACTACTTCCCGAGGGCTGGGATTACAGGCATGCACCACTGCCTGTCTCCCTCAGACTCCTTCTTTCTTTTCCCTTTTCTTCTCTTTTGAGCCAGGGTCTTACTATGTTGCCCTGGCTGCCCTGGAACTGGCTTTGTAGACCAGGCTAGCCTCTCAGTCACAAAGATCCACCTGTGTCCTCCTTCGGAGTGCTGGGATTAAAAGCGTGTTCCAACATGGATAGTGTCCTCAGACATTTTTAAGGATTAAGGTTGAACAGCATCATCTAAAAGGGTTGAGGTGTGGCTTAGTGATTCAATCTCCAGTACCCCAGTGAACAATCAAATCATAAACTGGAGTGCTCGAAAGCAAGGTTTACATTTTTTAAAGTTATCAGAGCACTTTGAGGTGTATAGCAAAAAAACGAACGGGAAGATTACAGACTTCCCAAAAACTCCCGTGCCTCACAGCTACCTCCCCTGTTAGCAGCATTCCCCCACTAAAGGGGTACAGTTGTGACAGTTCATAAACCAACATGGACACATCCTTATCACCCACAGTGCATATTATGTTAGGGCTCTCTGTTAGTGTTCTCCACTGGATGAGTTCTTTTTGGCCTTAACATGCTCAGCTGTTGTAGCCCAAAGAAGGTTTAAACTGTCCTGAACACCCTTCTCTGTCCTCTGTGGGAGGTGAAAAGGGCCCCTGTCACTGCTCAGCCATCTGTCTCTGTTGAGGCTACCAAGTGATGTTCATTAGGTGGCTGTGGGACCTACTGGAACACTAAGGAAAATTGCAGTTGTGTATGTATGGGGGTGGGGGAGGCCACGCTAATGTTCTGTCAGGGCACGCTCAGTGGCCCAGCTCTTGTAATTTCTGAGTCCCTTCAGATGAGTTGCCAGGGACATTACAGGAAGGAGCTGAAACCATCACACAAGTGCTCTGTGCTGGGCACCTTGACAAGGTGTTTCATGCAGACGATCCCTTATGAGCTCTTCCATCACCTGGTGGCGGGCCGTCCATCTACAGACAAAGATAGATCCAAGAAGCAGCAAGGATGAAGCCCTTGGGTGTGTAAATACAGAGCTCCAGGCCTTCTGGCTCGTGGTACCCTGTTCTGCTTCTTCCTGGTACCCAGTACATCTACCCGAAAGCCATAACTGCGTGTGTTTGGGGTCCTCGTGCAGCCACACCTGTGGAGGTGCCAACAGACAGCCA